AAAACGGTACTATTTATTCTGCCATAGGCGACAATACTAACATTTTCTAAATTTACCACTTTTTATAATAAAAACCCCGATCAAACAGTTATGTGTGGTGTTAGTACTTTATTATTCTGTTTTGAAAATTGAAGCTAAATAGTATCATGACCAACTTCCAATGGAGCTTGTTAATGTTATCCATGCCCACCGTAATTTTACACCAAATTTATGAAATTTTTGAAGTCTTTTCGAATAATTCTCTAGAAAATATTTCAATAGGTTTCAAAATTTATATTGTAAATATACACACTGCAGTTATTCATAGATAAATAAAAAAATATATTGTAATCTAACATCCAATCACAGCGCTCCTAAGTTGACTTCCTTCACCTGCCTTGGGTACACAAAAGACCAACCTAATGCTGGGAAAATATAATAGTACCGTTTTCCCTATACTGTGACATAAAGATATAAAGAATTCTTTTGACACCATTAATGCAATACTGGGTTATTGTGAAAACCTTGGCTATAATAAATACTTGTATGTTCCCATTACTTAAAAAACATGGATCATTTAATGTCCCCACCCCTACATGCTGGTTTACCTCTTTCTCTACTTCTTTCAGATAAGGCTTAATAAACAACCTGTATCCAATCATATCTTATCTTATTTAAAAAGAATAATAAACAGTTCCATTTAAACAGATAAAAATAACAGTTCCATTCAATTTGTATTCATTTCATCCAAAATTTACAACATAAGCACAAACTCAAGATTTTTCATACTAATCTCCATTCCATGCTTTAGTATATGCCATATTGTGGTTCAAACTTTCAGAGCTTGTTATAAAATCCATTATTCTGTCTTGAGATGATGAGAACAAAGATATTAGACACTTTCAACATTAAATATGCAAAATACTCAGCTGTAAAGTTGCCTTTGTTGCCTGTATTAATCTATGAAAAAGCTGAATTATGTCCCTTGGGAGTATTAATTTCCAACAAAAGTCCTTTCAAACAGTAGAAAATGAAATATTATATATGCCTGATATAATGAAAGATAGAAACTACAAAATGAAGCACTATTGAAATATTTGCTGCATGAATTGCCAAGAATATGACCAATTCTTTACACAGGAGAGTATAAATTCTATCTAAATTTAGCCTCAAGTGGGCCTCTTTTTTTCTTAGATGGACAATTTTAACACTGAAAATGCTTCTAGTATGACCAAATGTTGCCTTACTCCATAAACAGTACAAACTTAACCAGACAATTTCCCATTTGAATAGATTATGTCTACAGAAATACCCAAGTGATACATTTAGGGAATTACACAGCAAAAAAGGCAAATATTTCAGTTAAAAATATTTGTCGTGACTTGAATTCTGGTGTTTCCAATTGAATTAATCATTGCGAAAGGTGAAAACAAATACAAAAGAACTATAGTTTGGTGCATTTTATACAATATAGTTAATATTGAAATCCTAGAATAAAGTTTTATATCAGTACCCATCAATTTGACTTATTATGATGACTCAGCACTTTTCTCAACACAGTATTGTTCTCAGTGAAAAAATTCTATTCTTTGTGATAAAAATCAAATGTACTAACCAAAAGCTTCAAAATAGTATACTTTAACTGAAGTCGGATTGATTTTGATTTCCCTTGCTATCTTCAGTATAGGGAAAACGGTACTATTTATTCTGCCATAGGCGACAATACTAACATTTTCTAAATTTACCACTTTTTATAATAAAAACCCCGATCAAACAGTTATGTGTGGTGTTAGTACTTTATTATTCTGTTTTGAAAATTGAAGCTAAATAGTATCATGACCAACTTCCAATGGAGCTTGTTAATGTTATCCATGCCCACCGTAATTTTACACCAAATTTATGAAATTTTTGAAGTCTTTTCGAATAATTCTCTAGAAAATATTTCAATAGGTTTCAAAATTTATATTGTAAATATACACACTGCAGTTATTCATAGATAAATAAAAAAATATATTGTAATCTAACATCCAATCACAGCGCTCCTAAGTTGACTTCCTTCACCTGCCTTGGGTACACAAAAGACCAACCTAATGCTGGGAAAATATAATAGTACCGTTTTCCCTATAGTGTTTCAGGATTCAATTACACGTGACCGTGACGCATTTTTATTTACGTATATTATGTATTTACATCATTATTAGTACTTTTATTATTATCATTATTGATTCATTATTTTAAGTAGTATAAATTTATCATAATTCATAATATAATGATAGAAGTTTGCATTTGTAACTGTTTTTTTTTCTTCTTAAAGAGAGACGAAAGATACCAAAGGGGCATTCAAACTCATAGGTAGAAAATAAACTGAAAACGCCATAGCTAAAAAAGAAAAAGACCAACAAACAAACAACAGTACACAAAACACAACATAGAAAACTAAAGACTGAGCAACACGAACCCCACCCAAAACTGGTGTTGATCTCAGGTGCTCCGGAAGGGTAAGCAGATCCTGCTCCACATGTGGCACCCGTTGTGTTGCTCATATTATTACAAACCCGGTAATAAGTCTAATTCGGTAGGTCACATTCAGGGAAAAGGGGAAGGGATTTTAGTTACCACAATTGGAACATTTCCGCTGTCATCTCTGAAACGGATATTCCGTAACGGTCAACCAACTCGTGATGGTGTGCGTAAAATTGACAAAGGAATGATTTCAGCTTCACCACTTGGAACTCTTGGTTTAATAGCTTCCTTGTTAGCAGCAACTCTCTATCAGGAAATCATGATAGGAAATACAAGCCCTGGAATGACGTATCAACTGGGAGATATATACTCCGTATGCAGGCACTGCTGGAATGTTGCTAAATAAAAATGGAAATCATCTCTTTTGTCGTAAAGTTTTGTTTTCAAACGACCCTTATTGTCAATTTCGACATGTAAGTCAAGATATGAGGCAGACTTATCTGTATCTGCTCAAGTTTGATGGGACAGATGCGTTCAACATAGTCATCAAATTTTGAATTATTTAGTGAGAGAACATCATCTATATAGCGGGAAAAGTAAAGATAAGGATACTGCTAACTTCTTTTCGTTCTTTCTAAGAAGTTCCTGTATGAAGTCAGTCTCATGTGAATAAAGGAAGAAGTCGGCATTCACATTCACATTATTATTGCTAACATTCCAATTTTACAATATAAATTCAAAACACTGAAGGTCATATATAGATTTATATAAAGAGAGATATTCCAAAAATAAATGAAATACAATGAAGTATGGAAACTTTTCCCTTTTTTTTTTTTAAATCACTTAGTACATTGACAAAATCGGAAATTTGACTAATCGCAATTTGAGTTTGAATACTTATGAATCTAAATGAAATATTTCAAGAACTTTTAAACATTTTTTAAAATATCCTCAGTTGCATCGACCCAGTTGTAAATAAACTCATCATAGATACCAGGACTAAAATTGTGTACGCCAGACGCATTTTTGTCTACAAAAGACTAATCAGTGACGCTTGAATCAAAAAGGTTATAAAGGCCAAATAAAGTACTAAGTTGAAGAGCATTGAGGGCCCAAAATTCCGAAAGGCTTTTCCAAAAACAGCTTGGGTAATCTATCCCTTGGGTAGAAAATCCTTAGTATTTCGAAAAATGCAAAGTTGTATTAACAGTTAATTTATGATTATGACCATATCAATGATAATTTACGTCAAAACAGAAGTGCGGACTACTAGGCTTGTGATACCCTCGGGGAGAAAAGCCCACTAGCAGTCGCCATTTATAAAAGACTGCGAGAGAACATTTAGTAAAAAATCGTGATAACATTATTTTAGACTTGATAAATAACTATGAAAATCTTAATAAAACCAAAGAAAGGACCATGTAATATTTCTCCACGTTAGAGCACTATTAAACATAACAATACCAAATATTAAATAAAAAGGTGAACAGATTTCAAATGATATAACTAGACGAAATTGTTGATGTTATAAAATTGATCCAAAAAAGTTAATAAGGACCAGGGGCCGGTATCATGAAGCAATCTTAGTGCTTAAGATCATCTAAAGATTATCATATTTGCTAAGAGTGTCTCTTGAAGTAATCTTAAAATGATTTACAGCCCTTAAAATTCATGTTTCACTGGCAACCCTATGAGTACTCTTTATCCTTCTCGGAACGCACTCTTAGTTTCAATCTTATCGACTGGGTATCTCGAACGTCGATAATCAACTTAAGATCGTCTCTGATTACTCTTTGCTAATTTAAAGTGTATCAGTATTCTTTTTTTACTGAAAACTTGTGGTCAGGAGCACCCCTATCTCTCTCTTAGTTGATAAAATGGCGCTTGCAATGTTCTTGCATGTGCGTTCAAGAGAACAAAATAAGATATCCAAAAGGATCTTTTTCAGATATCTTAGACGACCGTAGGATTACAGAATCGGAAAATGTCCCGAGTAACAGCATTTTGTTCTGGTGAATAGCTGTCTTCATTGATTCCAATTCATCTTTGTTAAAGTTGGCTTTTCTTATGAAAATAAGGAGATGTGGTATGATTGACAATGAGACAACTATCTACCAAAGTTCAAATAAAGTGGATGTAAGCAATTATAGCAACAGTACGACCTTCAACAATGAGATAAACCCATACCGTATAGTCGGTTTAAAAAGGCACCGACATGAAAAATATGAAACAAATAAATTGAGAAAACCAACGGCCTTATTTATAACAAAACAATTTACAAAAAAAAATATGACAGACATGAACCAACGACAATCACAGACCTACCTTGGGACAAGCACATACAGAATATGGCGGAGTTAAACATGTTTGCTGATGCCAAACCCTCCCCCTAACCTGGGACAGTGATGTATTGTTCATCAACATTACCAAGGACAAAAGACTTTATTCTACACGGTGTATTAGTTTAATAATAAGCAAAAACGCCATTATATGTTTGTGTTGATGTCAACGCTTATTATTGGCTGTTGTGTTAATCTCTTGTTAATCATTAAACTTACCATTGCACTGTAAAAAGGTGCTTTGAACCGAATGAAAAGGTAGAGGTTGCCACCGTATCAGGAATGCCAACCAAGGGAACACTTGTGAAGTGCTGCATCTGTAACATTAACTCAAAATATTACAGTCTAGAAAGCATTTAGTAAAATTACAGAAAAAATTACTAGTAAAATCATGTTCATGAGAATCTTACAGAATAAGCCATACTTTTAAAGGTAAAGAAAACGTCCTAAAAATTTAAAGAATACAGAAATTGGTTTATGATTACCAACTTTTAAGTATAATACATTTTGGTCATGTAGAATGGCGGACTTCCAGATTACCAGATAAGCTAAAGATCTACTCATCCGAATGCTTTCTTTTAAAATTTAAAAGCTTTGCATTTAACGATATTCTAGAATAAAATGTGTTGTTGCCCAATGTTTGCATGATGGTACGTTAAAATACCATATATTGACAATCACCGAAATAAAAATCCTGTTTTGTCCTTATTTAAAAAACATACATGTAAAAATTCATGGAGGATATGAGGCTTATAGTTATGTAAACAAGACGCGTGTTTCTTCTAAATAGCACTCACCAATGCCACTCGAATGAAAACAGTTGGAAAATTGAAATGTAAAGTTGAACGATTGTTATTCCCTACTCGGAAAGAGTGATATATATATTTGGCTTCATCTAGTATTTGCAGACCAGGTAAAAATGGTGACCCGAGGATCGGACAGAATAAGTCGATAAGAACAGGAATTAAAACAGTTTCCGCCCATTGAAGAACTCTTTAAAATCTCGAAGGAATATGTTTTCATTATCTTTTGTGAGTAAGGGTGCGAACAGGAAATTTTGAATACGGAATAGTCATGTTCACCTGTTGCTAGGCCACTTTATTAATGCAAATATTTATGTTCACTTTTGTATAAAATCATTCTTACACTTTTGGGGCAGAATAGTCATTTTCTTCCTTTCTCGGGCAAAATTGTTTTTTTCAATTCTCACCTGGCCAGATTATTCACTTCCAAATTTATCCTGAACAGAATTAATTCCACCCCAAATAGAGAATCAAAATGATCGTCCCCTAATGATTCAGTGATTGAAAATGAAAGAAATAACCGCAAATATTTCTAAAGGAAAGCTGATACATATTTAATACGTTCCTCAAATTGCGGTATTTATAAATACTATGAAAAGAGTTCGAATGACGTGGAAGAAAGTAATTATGGGCCATCGTACGGCCTTCAAAAATGAGTAAACCCCAATACCGTATAGTCAGCAAGACCTCGACATAGTACAATTCAAACTAATGGCCTGATACATGCCAGGGCTTGTATTTCCTATCATGATTTCCTTGATAGAGGGTTGGTGCTCACAAGTAAGCCATTAAACCAAGGGTTCCAAGTGGGGAGGTTGAAATCATACCTTCGTAAGTTTTACGGACGCCATCACGAGTTGGTTGACCGTTATCGAATATTCGTTTCACAGATGATAGCAGATATGTTCCTGATGTCGTAACTACCCCCTTTACCGGAATATGACATACCGAATTTGACAAATTACCGATTTTGTACTAACATGAGCAACACGACGGGTGCCACATGTAGAGCAGGATCTGCTTACCCTTCCGGATCACCTGAGATCAACACCAGTTTTGGGTGGGGTTCGTGTTGCTCAGTCTTTAGTTTTCTATGTTGTGTTTTGTGTACTTCTGTTTGTCTTTTGGTCTTGTTCTTTTTTAGCCAAGGCGTTGTCAGTTTATTTTCGACTTATGAGTTTGAATGTCCCTTTGGTATCTTTCGCCTCTCTTTTATAAGAATTCAATGTACGGAAAAGGTATTTGAATGGCATGAACAAACGACAACCGCTGATTTTGAGGCTACTGATATGGGACAAGGACATACAAATATGGCGGGGTTAGAATGTTGATTTTAACAGAAATTGAAGTTAAATCAGATTTTCACATGAATAATGATTTACGGAAATTCCTACTCTTTTACATACATAAGACTCCAATCGTAAGATCGCTAAATCCAATATTATCATGATTATCCTGAAAACAGATATCTTCATGATGACCAAGGCCAATTTTTGATTTAAATCATTCCTGTGTAGTTATAGGAGAGACAAAATTAAAGGTTTAAGACTGACATCGATCAGACGACTGACGTCATGCAATGGGTAGTTACTGATATAGCCTTCGGCTAGGTTAACAACTAGAGGATCCATGAAGCCTAACCATTCCCCCTAGCATTTTACATCAAATTGGCAAAATACAACTAGAATATTTAGTTGAATGGAATTTGTGCGGGCCAAAATTATAGTTTTCAGGATAATAGGCAAAAACCCAATAAATATGGGCGACATTGTAATTTGAGGGTACCGCCTTATGGAGTTGATTGATGATTTCAAAAAACATATCATATTTGTTCATATTTGTTGTTGATGGGGTTTTGTGTTGCACAATATTCAGCTTTTTTGTGCTGTATTGAAGACTGTTGTTTGTCTTTTCGTCATTTTACCTTTTGCGCTGTGTAGTTGTCTGTTATTGAACTTATAGTTTTTGTATGGCCCCTTGGTACAGTCTCCCCTTAATGTATTTTGGCATCTGACTAGGAAACTCTTGAATATTACAAGAACTCTTGTAATATTCTTACTAGCTGAAACCATTTCAATGACAACTGGTCGAGAGAAAGTAAAACTAGGTCAGTCATACTTGTAGCGTTCCATTCAAGGCAAAACAAGGTGTTGGGTAGTCCGAGATTGCTCTGACGTCTGGATGGCCTTTTTAGAACTCCCAGGGCAGTTGGAAACCAGTAAATTATAAAAAGCCCGTAAGATCTCAGAGCTATTTCGGACTAAGAGTTGAGATGAACTCATAACAAAATGATTCTAACTGTATTTACTTAAAGTTTATTTTCTTAATGATGATACGTGAACTAAACTGATAATGTTTATACTCACAGTCAAATAATCAAAATACAATTATGATAGCCGTTATCTTATAAACAAGCACCATGCTTCCTTTGTCTTCTGTATGTTTCTCAGAAATCGTTGACAACTCAGATATTGAATGGTTTACTCTGTTCACACGACTGTTAAGTATGTTACTTTCTTTTTTATCTGTTTACTTATTAATCATTATTACTTTCACTATATAAAAGACCTTACTGTATTTCTTCTTCTGATTATTGTTATTATCATTATTATTATTCTTTTTCGGCCAAACTTTAACGACATTTCCCAAAAAAATACGCGACATGTTGAAATGATATTAGGTATCAAGTATCGGTTGACCAAAAGCTATTTTGTGGTTAGGGCACCACGCCGTAACATTTCCTTAATAGCGGTTATCTCCCATAACACCGAAAACCTTGTTATCGCTTTTCTTCAGAAACCGTAAGAGATATCGACAATTTTTTTTTTTTAATTGTTCCTTGGGACATAGTGCAAGTTTGTAATATTTGAGCCGAAGTTATCCGTTGACTTTATATAGGAGTTATCCCCTCTTAAATATTTGACGTTAGCGTTGTGTCTCTAGATCTCATGAGCCGTAAGTCGTACGACCTACGACCTTTTGATATGAGGTCCATAATCCATGACTTTGAAATTGAGGTCAAGGTCAAAGGTCAAGGTCATGACCTAGATTTTGACCTTACCTTGTTATCGGAATTACTCAATAAAGGTAAAATATGGCTGATAAAATGTAATGGAGAATATGTGTGTCTACATTTGTTATATTGGGTCCAAAGTTATTGGACCAAACATTATGGACCTAGGGTACCAAAGCTGTTTTCGGGGTCCGAAATGAAGATTTTTTGCTTAAATCTCAAACGACATAAAAAACCTTAGCAACCATATATTTTTTAACTAAGAAGGCTATGAATAATATAAATATGACATTTTTAATACTTGAAATGATATTTTTGTCCCTAGAACCGACATATAAGTCCTTAGCAACTACTTTTTTTTTTAACTTTAAAGGCTATGAATAGTAGATATGACATTTTTAATACTGAAAGTAATATTTTTGTCCTTAGCATTGACATAAAGATATTTTTGTCCTTAGCAATCACTTGTTATGAACATAAAAGTCCTTAGCAACCATATATTTTTGAACTAAGAAGGCTATCAAAAGTATAGATATTTAAGGTCTTTCCTTTTCCAAAAAGGTCCTTAGCAACTATATATTTTTGAACTAAGAAGGATATCAATAGTATAGATATTTTAAGAAATACAGTAAGGGTTTCCTTTTTGGAAAAAGAAAGACCTTGCTGTATTTCTGATTATTATTATTATTCTTTTTCCGCCAAACTTTGACAAAGTTAGCAGCCTTAACCGACATGTCGCTTTCAGGTTCACACTTTGTATCGGTGTCACAAATACCTATCCGGAACTCACCCTGTGAGTCGTAAAAATTTTGTCGGTTTCGGAGTTATCTGCCTAAAAACCTAAAAACCTTGTTATCATTCAAACACCATAACCGTAATAAGTAGAAAAAAAAACTGAAGGGTGGAATTTGTTCAGGACCAGACTCTGGTTCTTCGTTACATTTGGTTTGAAAAGATTCAACGACTCATTGGTAGGGTTGTGCCCCTTTGAAAATTAACCGATGTCGGTTGGCCACTAAAACTCAGAAACCGTAAGTCGTAGTCACCTAGGATCTTCACCAATGATCATCAATTCATGTGACTTTGAAAAAGTCTCAAGGTCGAATTTGTATGCTGACCTTGACCTTTGACCTTAGACCTTGTTATGGGATAATCTCAGAAACCATTATACTTACACAAGGATTTGTATAGCTGCTGCATTTCTGCCTCACATTAAGCATGAAAAATTATGTAAAAAAGTGAAAATGAAGCTATGTGACATAAACAATCTGAGCAACAGATAAAAATGAAATAATATTGACTATTTTTGAATAATCTGTCCAAGAGAAATCCTCCTGCCTTACCCCCTAAAAATGAAATGATTGTCCACTTATATATGCTCTTAATGCTAATAAAAAATGTCAAATCTTTACCAATATAAAAATAAGA